ATATCTATATGCAGTGGCCTAGTATTTGCATATAACTACACACATCCTCCCGTATACTTTAAATCATCTCTAGATTTCTTATAATATCTACTACAATATAAATGCTATATAAATAGTTGTTAAACAGTAGTATTCGTTTAGCAAATGACAATAAAAAAATCTGTGCATGTTCAGTACAGATGCATTTTTTTTTTGGAATATTTCCATCCTTGATTGAATCTGTGGATACGGAACACAGAGATTTAGAAGGCAGACTGTATTTCCTAAAATCCACACAGATTATTACATCTTTGCATTTTGTTTAAAAAATCTCTATTTTTTAAAGTTTTCTGCTTATCTAATTTGATCAGTATTCTTTAACAAGAAGATATTTTTATACCTTTAGAAATGTACTTGCATTCTATTTTGTGCTATGAAGTGGATATAGCATTTATATTATATAATGGTTTAATAAGCAGACTGTTTTCTTTCCTCTTAACGTTTGAATTTTGAGAGAGTGCAAAGATTGGTTGGGTGGGTAGAGAAGTGATTGCACATCTTACTGAATTCGCGAATGGTGTATGTGATACTCATCCCTATTCTAGAAATAAAACCAGAATGACGCAGCAGCACGCAGTACCAGCAGAATGAAATGGGAGCTGACTGGGAAAAGGAACTTTAGCCTTCACTTTTTAAGGCCACATGTTAAATGATAACAGTGAGCTGGAGAGAGCTTTTTAAGCAGACATGAAGTCTATTTAGGTATTTAAAAAATTATTTTAGTAAAATTAAATTTTGATGAGAGTATACAATTGAGACTGCGAAACTAATTTCTTCATTTCGTGTGCTTCACATTTATAAAAGTGTAGAATTTCCATCTGAGAAAAATAACCTGGGTTCAGTCATTTCCTCTGTCCCTCTGGAGTCCAGTTAAACTTAAATGACTTGCTTAGAACCTACCGGTTATTGACTGAACCCAGTTTTGTCAGCCTGATTCATGGATAGGCATATTTGATCTTGTTCAACAATAGGTCTGTCTATGCCACAGGTATGTCGTTAGGTTATGCTTAGAATATAATATAAATTCTGTTGCTATTTACGAATGAGAGAAATTGTCATTTATATTTAAAATGCTTTTACAGTTTTTTTAGTAACTTTTTTATACCAGATGTGTTCACCAGTTCATGGTAAATTATCTTTATGATCTCTGACTTATTTTGCTATATTACACAGTTACTTTTCTCAATCATTTCTGAAAAGAGCTCTTTATGATTTAGAACCAAATAAAATTTATATTGTGATAACTACATTAATAAATATTAGATAATCCTCTTATAAATTGTTTTAATGAAATGACGTGGTATCTAATTTTTTTCTTTTACTAAATACACTTATAACAATATTATGGTGAATAAAATCCAACCCAACTTGGA